GAGAAGAGAGCAGAGGAAGAGGTGGAGCAAGGCTAGAGTCTTAAACTGGTGTCTGGGGGGAGGAGACTCAGACGGAGCTTCGGTGGTCTAGAGTTTGAGACGTAGAGCTGCGCGCCGCGGCTGTGAAAGCGAAACTGAGCTTCAATAAAGACTGTTTTATTTAACAACGAACTGGCGTTGGTCCTTTGTGAGCTGGGACCTAGGGCAGCTCTGACAACATACATATGTCATTGATAATTTATTGTTTTGATGCATTTACATTCTTAATCTAAGCATATTAGCATGTCTTTTTTAGAGCAATATTTTGTCATATAATCATCAAAGCATTGCCATCCGTTTTCTAGTTTTATATTTCACTGCTGTCGTATGGATGCTGTTAATTTAGCCAATTTAAAATATTCATTTAATTTGAGAATCCGTTCCTCCTTGGTAGGTAGTTCTTTAGCTTTCCGTTTAGATCCTAGTTGTGGTGGTCACATATAAGAAAATTCTTTTTTCCGATTTCGGTATTTCTTTTCCTAAAAGGCCCAGTAGGCAAGCCTCTGGTTTTTTCATTAATGGGATTTTAAGCATTTTTTTTCAACTCCTCATGTATTGCTCCCCAGAAGTACTTAATCGGGGTGCAACTCCACCACATATGCATTGTTGTACCAGCTTCCTTGTTGCATTTCCAACAGAGGTTGGATTTCAGTTTATAGATTTTTGCTAATTTGACTGGTGTTAAATACCACCTGTAGAACATTTTGATGAAATTTTATTTTATGTACTAAAGGCGGTAAACCTTATATCTTCCTGCCAAAGTTTCTCCCCTTGCTCTAAATATATTGTGTGGCTGAAGTCTCGCTCCCATTTAATCATTATCTCTTTCACTTCTTCATCAATCATATCCAAATCTAGCAAAAGGTTATACATTTTAGATAATATTTTTTGTTGTTTTTTTAATAATGTTTCATGCATTAATGAATTCTCTTTAGCAAAGCCTTTCTTCGAGTCTGAATTAAAGACACTTCCAAGTTGTATATATTGCCATCTGTCGGAGACATAATGCCTTATTTCCTCATACGGTCTTATTCTAAGTTTACCTTGATCTTCCCTTATTAAATCTCTATATGTTGCCCATTCCTTATTCATGTTTAATTTTTTCATGGCATGGGCTTCTAGAGGTAAGAGCCACCATGGTGTCATTGGCTCCAGTCTCATTTTGTATTTGCTCCAGACTTTAAATAACGTGTTTCTAATTAGGTGGCTATTGAAGTCTTTATGGACTTTGATCTTATCATATGCGAGGTAGGAGTGCCATCCATACCTGTTGTTATAGCCCTCCAGTTCTAATAAATCTGCTTTTTCCAAAGTGATCCATTCTTTCAGCCATACAAGGCATTCTGCTTCATAGTATAATTTTAAATTTGGCAACGCCAAACCTGGGGTGGGGGTGTTTCCTTCTAACACTAGCCTCATGTGTCTCAAGAGCTGCTTATTGTAAGGCCCCTATCTTTGGAGGACTTGAAGGGCAGGCAGCTGCTGCAAGATAAAGTTTGAAAGGTCTCATGCAAAAGTAGAATACTGTTGGAAACTGGTTTCAGTCTTGTTCTATATGCTACAGGTGCACTTAGTCCTAGTAGCCCCTGTAATATGAAGCTCTGATTCTTTGGGGGTGGGGATGTAACTTAAGCCCGATGGCCAAACTAAATGTGATGTTAAATGTGACTTTGCCGTTAATGTGTATATTTTTGAAATGCAGGTAGCCACCACCAGGAAGGCCTGAGCAAGACTGGGGGCATGGTAGCTGGGGATGGGTGGTTAACCCTTGGTGAAAATGGCCCCCTGGGTGCTGTTATTTGCACTAAGAGGAAATATTCCATTGGTGCCAATAAGAATGTTCTGCTCAGTGCAAGTAGCAGCATTTGGAAGGAGGTTTCTGATATGAAGGGGGTATTCATTGAGATCATGGCAAAGAGGAATTGGTTAAGGTCTCCCTCTCCACCCAACATGGCGATGACCTTGCTTTGACTTTCATGAGGTAGCTGCTCGCATTTTTAAAAAATGTACACATTACAAGCACAAGCGTCTTTAATGCCATGCTTAGTTTGGTCTAGTAGTCCCGTTGAGGAAAAATAGAGTCCCATTTGAAATCAGTGGTGCAGATTTATACTTATCGATTTCCCACAGCTCCATGTAGTTTTTGGATCTTTCAGTCCAGAGCAAGAATAGAAAAGGAATCCTGTGTTTTTGTCTTGAGGAATGAAAGCCAGAGTCCCTTGCATTGCTCCCCAATTGACCACATAAGAAATCTGCTAAATACAAGATGAACAAATTGTGCAATCTGCTACATCTCAGCTGCTCAGCTGGAATTAATGAGGCTAGTCCATCAGTTTGATGGGGATTGTAGAGATATAACAGAGGGCAGGTATTAACCCATCACATTTAGCAGGCAATTTGTATGACCAGCTTTTCTTAAGCTCGCCTCCATTTATCATTTAGCAGGATTGTTATGCTTCTGGTCCTCCCCTCCCCAGTCCTATGCGCCTCTTGACTTCTCATAAGGGGATCAGTCTTGCAACAACAGGGAAGATGGATGGATTAAAACAGCGCAGAAGAGGAAAAAAACAACCAATAGTACACAGCTAAGAATAAGTTGCAGGAGTTACTCCAAGATTCTTAAGCATATTTGGGATCTTGGAAGCTCTCCACTGTGCCAAATTGGCATGCAAATTGGCAAGGGGTGGGGGGAAACTATCCAGTATGTCCAATGGCATGGATTTCTGTTTCGAACCAACTCTCCTTTACAAAGGTAATATTCTGGTAGATCTTAATTGGCTCTGGTATCAGAGATGTTAGACTTGCATCATGATGAATGCATATCCTTACTAGGGCTGCTTGAGAAATCCATTTTCTTTGAATTCTGAATGGATTTGACCTGATCAGGACCTCCTGAACTAATGTGTGATTCAGAATGTATTTATGCTTTGGATTTTGCACTTCTCTGAATTTTTGCAGTGCACTTTTCAGTTCAAAAAGAGTTTATCAAAATGCATTAAAATATATTTTATGATAAAATGCTTTTATAAATCAGTACATTAAGGCACACACGCACATACAGTGCTTTTTTCTTTAAAAAATGTTTAGGGGTGCTCTCATTTTGACTCAAGAAAATCACCATTTTATAGTTCAAATTGGGAAAAATTAGGTTACCTCAGGTTACATACGCTTCAGGTTACAGACTCCGCTAACCCAGAAATTGTGCTTCAGGTTAAGAACTTTGCTTCAGGATGAGAACAGAAATCGTACTCCGGTGGCGCGGCAGCAGCAGGAGGCCCCATTAGTTAAAGTGGTGCTTCAGGTTAAGAACAGTTTCAGGTTAAGTACAGACCTCCGGAATGAATTAAGTACTTAACCCAAGGTACCACTGTACAGTAGGGGGACGCGGGTGGCGCTGTGGGTAAAAGCCTCAGCGCCTAGGGCTTGCCGATCGAAAGGTCGGCGGTTCGAATCCCCCTGCGGCAGGTGCGCTCCCGTCCGTTCGGTCCCAGCGCCTGCCAACCTAGCAGTTCGAAAAGCACCCCGGTTGCAAGTAGATAAATAGGGACCGCTTACCAAGCGGAAGGTAAACGGCGTTTCCCGTGTGGCGGCTCTGGCTCGCCCAGAGCAGCGATGTCCCGCTGGCGCAACGTGACCCTCGGAAGTGTCTCCGGACAGCGCTGGCCCATCGGGCCTAATAGAGTGGAGATGGGCGCACAACCCTAGAGTCCTGGCAAGAACGCTAGCCCGTACGGGCAGGGGTACCTTTACTTTACCTACCACTGTACAGTAAATGGACAGAAGTACAAAGATTCACAGAATGTTTAGGGATATGTGTACCCCTGTGTACCCCCAGAAAAAGTTCTACAGACACACACACACACACACACACACACACATGCTTAATAAAAACCATTATTTAAATAAAAATGGAACACGTGAAATTGACGCAGACCTGAAATATATGGCTCTGTCTATCTATAATCTTACAACTTCATGTCTTTGGCTTACCACCAGTATAAAGGCTCCATATTTTCTATGGATAAAAGAAAGTGTCATGATCTTTCTATAGGTCATTGTTCATCAGGATTAAATTTGTTGGCACCATTTTTAAGCACTTATGCAAACATTGGCTACCCTACCATTCCCTTTCAGCTCAAAGGTTGCATATTCTTTTAATGAGCGCACAAAGCCTACCCTCAGCAGCTATATATTCCATCTGAGTTGTGCCTTTGACCATAAAGAGTTGTTTCATAGATTCATCCTGATTGATCACTGCCCAGAGCATCATTTCCATGGTCTCCTTCTAGTCTTTGTGACCCATATTTAATTCCAACATCAAGCAATTATTCCATGCTTTGGGGGAGGCATATTACAGCAGAAACAAAGTAGCTGTGGTTTTGTAAGTACTTGCATTAAAAACTAGTTACACTTCTTATTTAAAAAGACTGCTGCCCGATTAATCAGTGGCATTTTAATTGATCCAAGAACCACTCAGTCAGACCACAATTCTCAATCTGTTTCCTACTATAAATAAGTGAGGCTTACAGACTACAGAGACCAACATGATGTAATTTTGCCTCCCCCAAACTTGGCTTCGAAATACTTTTCTTTACACTGTGAAAGTTCCCAGTGAAGCAGTAGTCCACCAGGAAAATCGGCAAATTAGCAATTTATCACCATTGCACTCAGAGTTAGAGCACCTGTTGCGCTGCTGGTTTGAGGGATATCGCCATGAAGAACTCTTTGCCCATCATACTTCCACATAATGCCACTGCTTATTTCTGTATATCATGTTTGGATGAATGTTCCTTCTCCTCTCCCCTTGGAGCAGTTGGTTGCTTTGTCACCAGGATACATATTGATTATGCGTCAATACTGTCTCCCTGTCTTTGAAAGGTTGGGCTGGGTATATCAAAAGCAAATGCATTTGTGGTAAGCGGTATTTCCATCCATTTGATAACTTCTCTTCTTCTTTACAGGTTTTGGCTTCAGATTGTTACATCCTGGAAAGTTGGATCGGAAGCCATCATTGCTTTTGATAATGTGTCACTCAGCCTGGACTGCTATCTTACAAGTGAGCGAGCCTATGATTAGCTTTTTAATGTGTAGCCCGCTACAGTACAATGGGTACTGCAAATACATACCTTTTTGACTAAAGTCTTGACTTGTTACACTAGAAGTGTGAAAGTAGGTGCAGCTCACTCATGCTTCCTGTTTTGGCACTTCGACACCATGTGCAAAGAGGCCCTGAGAAAAGCAGGTCAAGGTGAGAGCAGTACAAGTCATGGTGTTGCCCCCAAAATGTCTAGCACTGTATCAGTCAGTCATCAACTTTATTATACTAGCCTTCAGCCTTGGCAGCTGTCAGGCAAAAAATTCAATATAAAATTTCCATTACGCAAGCTACAATGAAAAAAGAAAGGTTTTTAAACCAGAACCAACATTTTAAAATCCCAACATCAACTAAACTAAAAAAGAGCTGGTTGGTCCCTTCCTGGTTACCTGTTTGTTGAACTGTTTGTACAACGTTTGCAGGGAGATTATACAGGGTCAGTTATTTTCTGAAAATTTATTCTGATTTGTTTGCAGGGAGGTTATATAATGTCACGACAAACAATTGTTCTCCCACACTTTCCTGTGTATCTTCCTGTCGCTTTCCTTGCTAAAAAATAAATAAATCTTAGTGTTTTTGTTGGGATGTGATTGAATCTTTACTCACAAAATAGCAGTCTGGAAGCTCTCATCTGCCTAGAAGTCTCCTTCCTAGACTAACCATCCTGATAACTGTTAATCCAGACAAAATGTTTCCAAAGAAATTTTATCTTAGCTCATCACAGAAGGGAGATTTCAGTATATATAGAATGTCATGCAGTGAAGTTTGTCATTGTATTTAAGGAAAATAGATGTCCATTTTGCCAAATGTTAATCTGATATCATGAACATACATTTATGAAATTTCAGTAGCACCATATGTATTCTTGCTGTGATTTTCCCAGGAGATTATATACCGCTCTGGTTGTGTTTTGACTGAGAGCAGAGTTAACCAGAATATTGCTGCAGTGTGGGCAAAGCAGGCAAAGGTGGGGTGTTCAATGGGAGTGTTTAATCTACACCATCTGTTTTGCCAGTGCAGTGCAATGCTAGTTTGGGAGCCAGGAGAGGAGTGGCGGGAAAGGATTTAGAATTCAGAGAATTGTTGCAATCCTATACATAGTTATCTGGGAGTAAAGCTCATTGAACTCAGTGGGCTTGCTTCTGTGTATGCTTATATAGGATTGCACTGTTAGATTTCTCTTCCTGCCCCACACCCCTGATGGTACTTTGGCCTCATTGCCATCAGAGTTGAATAAGTAGTGCAAATAATAATACAGGTGGGTGTAGGCTGGTGCCATTTTACTCTGTACTTGCAGCAGAAGAGACATATACATTTCAGAAGCTGCTGCCTAGAGTCTGGCACTCCCATCTCAGTTTGTCTGCATCGCCTTGAGTCAGGGCAATGGCTTGTCTCTTCCAGCCGATGACTCTTCTGCATAGCTGTCAACCGTCCCTTATTTGGCGGGAAAGTCCCTTATCCCAGCACCGTGTCCCACTGCTGTCCCTTATTGATGCTGTCCCTTAAATTTCCCGGGTTTCAAAGGAAGCAGCTCCTCTCCCTCCCTCCCTGCCGGCCAGGGAGGAGGGAGGCTTCAACTGTGTTGCTTGGCTGCGTTGCTCACCCAATAAGGAGTCTAAGAACGACTGGGGGGTGGAGCTTGCATGACTTGTGCCGATCAAATCGGCTGCGTTGCCTGGGGACTCGTCTTTGCTCAGCGCTTCCCAGCGGAGAGGTGACGGTGGTTTTCCTTGCTTCATCCCTTTTGCCGGGTTGCTGCGCTGTGGGAACCACCGCTTGAGGCTTCGTTTGGCTGCTGGCTGGGCTTTCTTCCTTTGGCTTGGAGGGGCTCAGAAGTTGAACATACCTGTGCTTGGAAAATCCCTTATTTTGGCTGCTGATCCCTTATTTTTGAGGCTGCTGGTCCCTTATTTTCAAATCTGTAAGTTGACAGCTATGCTCTTCTGGGCTCTGATGCAGCTGCCATGCTTTCTCAATAAATTGAAGTGGTCGCTCAGGCAACAGTTTTGTTGTCCCTTGCTACTTAGGTCTAATGATCTCAGCCTCAGTGCCTTTCATCTGTAAAATGGGAGCCTTAATGAGTTGCCTTTTTGTACAGCAGTGCTGGGCAGTTTTACAAGAGCCCTTTGGAACCTGATCTGCGGTTACTCCAGATTATTTAGTCTGGATTTATCTTGTGAACTGCCCTGAGATCTTTTGATGAAGGGCGGTATAAAAATCTAATAAATCTAATAAATAAAAAATGTAGCACTGTAACACTGTGCCTGCATATACCTGGCATTATTACACTGGTGTCGTATCCCCAAGAGTGATTTATCTCCAATATCCATTAGCACTGGGACTTACACCAAATCCTACCCCTCTCTGGCCAGGGTAGTTTAACTCTAGGATTAACCTTCAAGGCTTTCAGGCTCGGCAACTTACTAAGATCCTTTGCCTCCAGACTGGAAAGACCATTGCTTTTATGAATCTTTGGGAGCTGCTTCCTATCAGAAATGTTGCACAACGCTAAGCACGTTTGTAAAGTTGAAATACTCCACTGCCTTTTGCACTGGGGTTATCATATTACTTGTATTGCCACCATATTTAAACATTTATGGCTGTTTAGTGACAGCAGTGCATGAACTACTGTGCTTTTGTCTCATTTCCTTGTTCTTGGACATTAGGCTTAAGCTCTCTTTTCTTGCCCCTGATCTTCCAACCATTGAGATAATCAGTAATGCTGTGTGTTAAATATCCCTTTATCCAGTTTCTCCTCTGATGTAAACTCACTGTATCTCTTTCGCTGTTTTACAACCACTCTCTATAGTGTTTGCCATCTGTGAATCTACCCCTTATTTCTAATGCATTCCATTTGCTAGTGTCCTAATGCCAAATGCCTCTACAGTTGAAGTTGAGCTTCTGCAGCTACAAGGGAATATATATTTTTAATTATTTGTAGCTGTTGCATTGTAACTGCAGAAGAATTGCACTCCACTGTTTTAAAGGCTAAATATGCATGTTGGAAGTTGACAATTAAACAGCAGCCACTGTATTCGCCGCCCACCCCCAATCATGCTGATGTCCTTTCAGCTTGTTAGCATCTTAAGCATTCTTTCTTCCCTTGCTTCCCTCCTGTTTTTTCCTCTCCATTTGTTTCAGATCCCTCAGCAGCAATGGATGCCCTGCCCTTCCTTTTAACGCCATCACCCGTTATGGTTGCAAACCCTTTGGCCCAGTTTGATCCACCACCAGCTGTTGTTGTCCTCCCTGTGCCAGGCCAACACACCATATCTGCACAGTCATAAACCAGGCTGTTTTTTTGTGTGTTCCAGTCAATGAAGAGAAGACATCTCGAGACAACAGCCCGGACGCAGGCAATCTGCTCACTGAAAGAGGCAGGGGGGAAGGGCAGATTACAGAAAGGCCAACACAGGATCCTGCCCCAGTTGGCCTTGGAGGTAGGGAAATGGTTTCTTGCTGAGAATCATCATTCCAAGTGGACAGAAGTCTTCACAAGTGCAAGCTTCCATTAAATACAGTAAAGTGCTTTATTGATTATTGGGTGATGAAAAGAGAAACAATGTGAATTTTTTTCAGCAAATGAGAACGTGCAAATTTGGCATGTTTGGGCTGTGAAATGTCTCTTGTATTTATTTGGACAGCTAGGGCAAGGCTTTTCACAAAACCAGGAATGTTGCCATTTTGGAAAGTAAATGATTAGAAAAAAGTGTCCTAATGCTAATTATTATTATTATTATTATTATTATTATTATTATTATTATTACTATTATTAAAAGAATGCATCGAAGGAAGGCAAACTGATCACTGTGGGAAAGTCAATGGCAAATCAAAAGTCTGTATCCTTGCTATAAATAATTGAAGCTGCCATGGACTTGGCATACATTTCTCTAACCCATAATGCCTCTGAAAGGCACATGTGCTTTTCTTTATTTATTGCCTGTTCTGGTGTGTGGTACAGTAGTCCATCCCCTTGCTGTCAGCCACTGGGAGTTTCCCAGTATTTTTCCCATGTGGAAGCAGAATACATGGACCTGGAGTCTGCAGGGCTCGAGTTTTCACTCTGAGGTCACATCTCCCTTAGCATGGAAAAACAGAGTCAGCATGAAGGCAGGCGAAATGTGAAAAGATGAAGCATGGAACCTTTGAGTGTTTTTGACAATGCCGTTTTCCTGCAAAACCAGTTTCTTGTTGTTTCATATTAACCGGGTTCTGATAACTTTGTTTTTCCTATAAAAACTGTTAAGTTATATCTGTAAGCAGAACACCTTATTGGATCAGCTCAGATGAGAGTCTGGCTGATGCGGTCTTCGCCTATGCAACTGCCTTGCCTTAATCAATGGAGTGTTGAGCAGACTTTTACCCTAATCACAATGTGAAGGCTTGGTTTTCTTTGAAACCCAGAAAGAGCTGGCCAGGCTTGTGTCCAAAGGTGACTCATCTGGGTCTTTTATATGGAAAAGTTGCAGTGCCGATGGGTGGTGATAGTAGTAGTGGCTTTTCTGATGTTCTGTGATGCTTCTGAAAGCAACTGATGGCTGCAGATACAGGTGACTGATGAGGGCTGCCAGTAATTTGTAGACCTACTGTAGCCAGGCTCCACTCTGCGTCTTTTTTTTAAAAAAAAATAGACCTAGCATATCAGAGGAAATGTATTAATGCTGTGATAAATGCTGTAAACATAGATATTAACAACACCCACTGCTGTTTTCATTAGTTAGAGTGTTTGTACAGCACTTTCAAAGATAAAAAGCACTTCTGAAATGTTGTTCCATGAATCAGTTTGCAATGGAGCTGACAAGAAGGGAGATTCCTGGTCCTGCGCTTGATTTTCTGACATTAGCTCGCAACGGCTGTACATCTTGCACTGAGTGGGTTTTATAACGTGTCCTGTATAAAACATGCATAGAGCAGCAAGAAAGCTTGCACTTGAGTTGCCATTCCCCAATACGAGAGGCAATAAAGCAGGTCAGGGCATTATTCGTTCCTAAAGTGCTCAAATTTATTTATATTTACTGTGCCAAACACCGGGGAAATGGAGGGGGGGAGGAAGGCAAGCTACCTTGGAAAACTTACAAGAATGGTTTATTGGCTCTCTGGAGAGCTGATTCTCACAAGTGTAGCCAGAAGATGCAGTTTCTAATCAGCCCTTACTGTCAAAAGCTGTGGGTGTCGCAGTCAGAAAAGGTCATAAGAATTGACCCTGAATGTTTAGTAATGTTGGTGGTGGGAATTGATGTAGCATGAATATCAGGGAACCATTTTGTGACAATCATAGTTTTATTTATGCCTGACTTACTATGAGCCGGATCAGTAAAGTACTGTTTTGAACAAGGGACTCTCATGACAGCTGGTCTCAGGTATCTTATTCCTTGTTGCAGCAGACAGATTGCAGATAGACATATCTGCTTCTCTGAACTCTGCTCCTTTATAACTCCACTGCTGCAGATGTCCTAAGGATGTAGAAAGAGAAGGTGATCCAAGGAGCTAGTAACATTGGATCTGGTGCTAATGGAAACTTCTCTCCTTGGTGAATAGCAGCTGGGAAGCTGTGATGTGCAGGAAAGTGTTAACTCCCCTCCCTGCGTATCATATTCCTGATCCTCGTCTGATTGCCGCTGCCCCATCCCCTGCTTTTGGCTGCTCCTGTTGTTAAATTTTAAAAACTAGACATGTTCATTGTCATCATGCAATTAATATCCCATCTAGTCTGGCATTCAAACATTTGCAATCTCAGTTGTGTGGTAATTGATGGAAGGCTGTTGCAGATTAACTATATGCAAATATATACCAAACTTTGTAGCCAAATCAAAACTGGCTGGCATTTTCTTAATTTATTGGCTTCCACAGGAGGGCATAGAGTTCACAAATGAGTGGGCAGACAAAGAGAATTCAGCTTCACTTAGTATTTCAGTTGGTTTCATGATAAGCAAAACTCACCAATAGCTTCACTCCATAGATCACCACGTGTCCCTCCACCTCCATATTAGGACAATGCCTTTATTAGGCCATCTAAAATATCATAAAATGTTTATCATCTTTTGATAATAAGCAAAACTAAGAAGGGGCAGGGAAGAGAGGGAAAAGTTGGCTGGCGTTAAAGCCATATGGTGTGCATCTATTAAAACTCTTATGATGGAATCTGGATGGACATAACAATCATTCCAATGAGACTCCATAAGGGTTATGCAGTGATTCCATTCCTGTTTTGTTTTTTTAACTCTTTTATTAAGGTGAGCTGGAGAACTATTGTTGTACTAAAACTCCTCACTGAGTGAGGTTACTGAAAGATTTGGATGAGTTGTCATCAGTATGCTGATGACACCTAGCTGTTTCCTCTTTTCATCAAATTCAGGTGAAACTGTGGAAGTGTAGATTTGTTTCAGTAGTCAGTAATGGCTTGAACAGGAGCCAATAAATTAGCGCTCCATACAAATTACACAGAAATGGGTGGGTGGGTGCTTTGCCTGGACTGGGATGTGGTGTCCCACCTGTTCTGGACAGATCAATTGAACAGTGTGTAAAAACGAAAGGATGTCCACTGACCCTGGAAAATGCAGACTACATTGATACCCAGCATTATAGAGCAAACCACAGTCAGATTACCTCTCTAAAGTGTTAACGGATGGGTGACCTTCTCTCTTCTTATTCATGTAGCAGAGCAACAGGAACCATACTCTGTCAAATCAGTCATGTTTTGTTTCATCCTTTATTATTCTCTGATGTTTTGTAATATGCTCAGAAAAGTCTACATCCTGAATATTATTCAGACACACACCCATTGGAGGGGCCCATTGGCTGACTTCCAGCACTTGTCAATTTCAAGCCTAGCTGCTGCCAGGAGCAGCACAATCAGGTCTTTGTGTGTTGTGGAAGGATTAGAACCAGTGTCCATTGATAACAATGGCAATAACTGGCCCCATCTGCAGAGGTGCCAATAGATTCTGGGGCTTAAGACATATTCCACTAGCTGAGTCTAATTTTCCTGTTCTGGCTAATTCTGTACAGAGATCGCCTGCTCACAATTATCCATTCACTGGTTTCACCTCATTTAGACTATTTCAATGTGTTGAACATGGGCTGCTTTTGAGAACTGTTTGGAAACTAGTGCAAAGCACAGCAGCATGTTTATAACTGGGACTGGATGTTATGCCAGTTTTGAAACACAGTTGCTTCCAGGTGGTTTCCAAGTGCAATGCAAAGTTCCAGTTTTGACCTAAAGCCCTAAATAGCTTGGGATGAGGGCACCTGAAGGATCACCTTCTCCTGTATGAATCTGCCCAGATACTGAAACTGGCATCTAAAGCTCTGCTCTGAGTCATCCTAGTGTTTGAGGTAAGGCAGGTGGTGGCTGGAGTCAGGGCCTTCTCACCAGTGGCACCTCATATTTGGAATTCCCTTCCTAGGGCAGTTCATCTGGCACTGTTTTTGTTTTCCCTTAGCACCAAGTGAAAGCGTCTCTATTTGTCCTAGCCTTGTAGGCTCTTTAATTTGTTTTTAATTTGATTATACTGGAATTTGATCTATTCTGCTTGTGGTGTGTTCTACTGCTTTGATATCTGTTATGCTGTACTTTTTCATTTTTAATCCTTCTGAAAAACTGGCAGCTTGGGCTGAAGAGCGACTAGTAAATCACTTGTATAAATAAACACAAAATAACTGGTGTTGCTTTGCTCCTTACATCTTCTTGTTGGTGTCTGGTGTTGTGCTTCAGGTGCATAATTAGGCTGTGCTGAGGAAGTAAATACCTGATCATTCTGTGCTGAAGAAACGGTCCACCCCGTCGTCCCTTTTAGCTTTATTTTCAAACCAGAGGCAGACAACCCCTGCAGAGTGGTAGCAGAATCCGATTCCCTTGCTCCCCGGCAGGAATGCAGAACTGTCACTTGTATGATGAGGGGCATCCAGCCATCAAGGAAGAGAACACAACCACCAGAAATAAGTGAAAGTACCCCGTTGTGCGTTTACGAGTCTACCAGCTGGGCTGCAGACCAGGGCTCTGATTTCTCTTGCTTGGTACCTGAACAACTTTACACATCAATATCAGCCTTTGAATTGGAAAGTGTTCCACTCTGAACATTTCTGCAAATGATTTCTTTTTCCCTCCTCGTCTTTCCCATTGCCTTCTGTCCTGTTCTTAGGTCCCTCCTGCCCCTGGTAATGTTAATAATAAAAACACGGTGTGTAGTGTTTCATCAGCTTTCTAAATATCTTTTAGAATTGTGCCAGATCCCCACACCCAGTTTCATGGACCTCTTTGTTCCATATGAAAGAATGGAGCTTTTTTCTCCCCTGCAGCTTATGCAATCTTAGGAGAAATTCAGAGGTTGCAAGGGGTTGGCTTTTTCCTTGAAGTATACATTGATGGCATTACTAACTTGGTCAAGTTCTGTTCTCTTTCTTAAAATTCTTTAAAGCTTTGTGCTGCTTTACAGACTTC